GTTCTCCCGCTTCAGCCGCCACCGCCACCCCCTCCAGAATCACATCGCTGGCCGATTAAGACGACAATAGCAGCGGCCGCTCTCACTGCGACGACGACCAAAATCGGTCAGGTTGACCACCGACATATTCCCCATCTTCACCGAACTGTTCTCGGCGGTGGCGAGGGACTGGTGGCGGAATTAATGGTTGGGGGTTCGAGTAAACTTCGACGTACGGGCGGCGACCGACGGTGGGTGGCTGGATCTGGCGATGGCGGGACGGCGCTAGGTAAGGTCGGAGACGGCGGGCGGTGGATTTGGGCTGGAGTAAAAATCAGATATTTGTGTGTGTGAGATGGGGGAGGGGAAAGGTTAATGGTGGGGCCCACATTAGTGTTTGATTATTTAATGGATATGTAAAGACTAGTTTACCCCTGTTGAGTGGTAAAAAGCACATATATGACCACTATTTATATACTTATTTACCATAATGCTACTCATATATAACCATTGTTTATTTAATTTTGACTTGATCATGGTTATTAGTTTTGTGAATCCAATGATGCAGAATCATTCTTATTTCTTTCACTACACCTCTTTCTCATATGATCAATTCTCTCTCTCTCTCTATCTATCTCTCTCTCTCTACATATATATATGTATATATATTTATTTATTTATTATATTAATGAAATAGCTCTTAGGGATAGTAAAACGCTCCCCAAAGAGATTTTTAACGTTGTTTGCTTTCGCTTTTATTTTTGGTGTTCGAACACACTCTACGTACTCTATTTTACTCCCTGTCTATATTTCAAAAGAAGATATTTTTATGTACATAGGATCAATTATATTTTGTCTTTTTTGGTCTTTTTTATAGTCATCTTCCTCAATGATTTTGGCTTGATTCGCCTCATTTTACGTTTTAGTATATTTTAAGTAAATGATCATTGTCTGTATTTGTTTCAATAAATGTTTGACTATGTTATAGAAATGATATTTTGTTTTCTACCAAAGGATGTTAATTCAGAGTTTCTAATTATCAATTGAAGAAATTTGGGTTGGAACATACCAAGTGTCATGATACTCCAATGGGAGGCCATAAAAAGTTTTCGAAGGACGATGCAGAAGCACCTGTTGATTCAACTCTTTATAAAAACATGAATGTTAGCCTCTTGTACTGAACAACTAGCCGATCTGATTTATTCTTGATTATAGGAATTATTAGAGTATACTGTAGAAGCTCGGCTTTGTGATTAATCCTAATTCCATTTTAAATGAGATGTGTGTCTTTATTCAACTTAATGTTCGTAGTTTATTTATTCATGCGAACATGGTTCATTTATTTTACATTGTAGATAATGTGGTTTGGCTTGTTGGACCGAAAGATCTCATTATCAGTGTAGTACAAGTGTGAGCGTCCTGGCCCAGTTTGGAATAGATCGCCTTTGTCCTCGCCGGTAGAACTCCAGAAACCTGCAAATAACTCTCACACCGGGGGATTTTCTCGGTGAAGAGCCTCTGATGCTTAAGTAAGTATGTGTATGAGTATACTTGAGTTGAATAATGGAAATCGTGTTTTTGAAGAAAGGCTCACCCCTCTTTATATAGGGATGAGATACCTGACCTAAGAGCTGCCCGGGTATGGTGAGCTGGCTGCCCCAGCTGCCCGTCCGTACTCTGACATGCCGCGTGTATGTAAGAGGTGGTGCTGGGAGTTGTAAGAGGTGGTTGCCGCTATCCACCAATGTATTCTCGCCACGTGTCCTCTGCACATGG